AGGGAAACCAAGAACTCCCTACAGCTTCCCAACAGTTTAGCTTTTTCCTCTCCAGTTCTCGTTTTTATGTTGTTGCAACAGTCCTCAGGCTGGCCCCCACACCCAGCGCCATGCCATTTCAGTTCAGCTGGGTGTTACAAGCTGATCACCAGTTGTCAGTCCACTACAAGGCAGATGAAACAGTGCCTGTGTAGCTGCTATGGCTGTGGGACAACATGGCTGATAACATGCAGTTGAGCCTGCAGGAGGTATACCACATAACTAGCATAGCCAGCACCCCACCTACGTGATGGGTTGTGCAGAAAGTGCAGAGAACAGCCCAAGAAGTGGGTAATCAGATTGATAAATTGGTTGATGGCAGTGGGTTGCCTGGTTTGGGAGAATCCAGGTGATTTGTCAGAGCAAGTCGCTCATGGACAGCCTACCTAGACTTGATAACTGCTACGTGAAATGGGCACATAGCAGATGACGTTCAAATTGCATCACTTAGGCCAGATGAGGAAATGCTGATGACACACACGAAGCACAGGTTCCTGGTGAGTGGGCCAGCTGGCACGTTAGGTCAGTGGTGCCCTTTCTAGCTCCTTTTACAGGTCCTCCAACCCACAATTCTATGGATGCCTTGGCCAGGCTGGGAGATGTGGAAGTGAAGTGCTGAGGTAGAGTGAAAGCTGTAAAAACTGTACCCGCAAAGGAGAAAAACAAGGGGAGCTCTGGGCAAGGGGGCCGGTCCCCCCAAGGACAGGCTGTGGGGCCACTGCAGATCATTTGGCACTGATCTGCGTGGACCTTCTGGCTGCAGATTAAGTCAGGCAGGCAGCCTTTGGGTGTGTTGCTGACTCTGCAGAGGCAGTTATGCCCCGAACAGCAGTACCTGCCAATGGGCTAGGGCTAGAAGGCCAAAGAAGCCTTGGTGAAACAGGAAGAAGTGACACTGGCCTCCTTTTATCCTAACCAGGAAGCCAGGCATGGTACCTGGATACTGAGGGTCCTTGGAGACTGGAGGCCACCTGTAGAATTGACTATTTACTGGTCCCCTCAAAATATGCAGTGTACTAGTGTTGGTGGATACCGGAGCTGAGCCAGTGCTAACATACAGCAACCCAGCCCATTTTACAGGAAAACTACATGCACAGAAGGGTGTAGAGGTCACTACATCACTGGTCTGGAAAGCCCAGGTGGCTGTAGGTATCGGGCACTTGCCCCAGGCCTGTATGATGTATGTTTCCCTGTCTGCTGAACACACAGTGGGAGTAGACATACTGACTGGTGGGTGCACAGCTCGACACCATGCAAAGACAGTGCCAGTTGTGAACCTGTGTGCTGAAAATCAGAGCCTGAGAGCACTCATATAGTGTGTTGCTGACTCTCCTCCAGGCCATGCAGGTAGTGTGTGTGAAGCCGTGCCTGCTGCCTAGAGGCCATGAAGCAACGTGACAGACTGCCCTGAAATTGGAAAAGGCATGGGTGATACACCTTATATATAATCCTCCAGTATGGCCTGTGCAGAAAGAAGCCAGATGGGTTGTGGAGAATCCATGTGTAAAATCCTACCTTGATGCTGCCAGGCAGGACCAATTTGCCTCCACCTGGGAAGGGGGACAATGGACCTTCCAGATTCTGCTACAAGGCTGTATGCATAGCCCAACTTTGTGTCATGGCCTAGTGGCCCAGGACTTGGCCACCTGGACCAAGCCACACTTTGTCACTGTTTCATTGTATTGATATTATGCCAACCTCTGACTGTCATGCAGATTTAAAGCCACCCTGCAGAGTCTAAAGAAAGCTTTCCTGACTTGGGGGTGGACCATAGACAAAGGCAAGGTCCAGGGAACTGGCTTGTCTGTCAAATTTTTAGGTGTTATATGATGGGTAAGACCAGACCCATGACATTACAGGTATAGGTGCACTTGCTAGGGTTTTGGCAGAAGTACTGCACCTAGCTGCCCTGTTGTGCCCTTTATGCTGGACGAACAGGAGGGACACAACATGGGGATGCACAGATGCAGCAGAATCTGCTTGCTGGATAGATGCAGCAGAAACTGGTTTTCAGGACTCAAAGAGGGCTGTTGCACTGGTGCAAGCCCTATGAGTCATTGACCTTCACCTGCTCTTTATCCTAAATGGAAGTAGAAATGGCAGTGGACTTGGCTGGGGCCTATGGCAAAAACATGGGAAGTGGGAGCACCCTGTTGGGTTTTGGTCACAGCTGTGGAAGGGACCTAAGAGCTGGTATTACCTGACTGACAAACTGCAGCACTCTATGCTGCTCTGCATGCCTGTGAGAAATCATAGATCATAAAAGCTCAGACAAAATACTGACAGAGGGTTGCGTATGGACATAAACAGTCCATGCCAGGAGTGGAGTGGCATAGGCTCCCACTCTCATGTGTTGGGGGGCATACATCCAACAGCAGGCCTTCATTTTAGTTAGCCCATTGACAGCTGAACTGGCAATGATTTGGGACCTATGATATACACAGCTCAGGAATCCATCTACACAGACAGAGTGTAGGACATAACCCCTCTTTCCTAAAAAAAAAAAAAAAAACAAGGAAAGAGGGGCCTCCAGCTGAGAGTGGATACACTCATGGATCAAGCCATGATCCAAACTACAATATGATTGCTTGTGATACATGAAAGAGATGCCCTACATGTGTGCACAACAGCTAGGCCATCTTTAGGGGCTGACATTTAGGCTGCTAGCTTGGGCAGAGGGACAGGGCACTGTCCCTTGTGGGGTGCTGACCTGGGGGGGAGACATATGGAAACATGGCCAACGTCTGACCATATGGGCTATCATGGTTCAGGACATAAGCCCTGCCTGTCACCAGGAAATGACCTAACAGGCACCTTGACCAGGCATTGCAGTGGTTGACTGCTAGGAATAGCATCTGACCAAAGACATTGACTGCTGCGTATGGCGTGCTGCTAGGCAAAACATCTGACAAGGGTTAAGGGTCATAAACTCAGCTCTCCAGGTTGAAGACCTTGCTCAACATATGGTCCAAGCCTTGAATGTTATACATTGGGCTTTGATGTTGCTAATGGATAAAATTTCTCCAATGAAAAAGATGATTTTGCATAACGACATGGTTCTTGATTTCTTAATTATAGGTACTTGTGTCCTGTTACATATAGAATGTTACATTTATACACCCCTAACCTTTGAGGGCATGGAATGTGGGGAACCACTCAGACTGTTTCAAAGCTCCAGAGTATCTAAGGACACCTAAGGACTTGACCCAAGAGAACAGGACTTTACTTGTCTAACGTAGTGCACAGTGGGATACAGTTATGACTTATCACGGGTAAACAGGCATGTGCAGGTTACGGCACTATGCAAGAACATAATTATGAGATAACAACTTGTATAAGAATTACACAATAAGGCACAGTTGGCTCTTGTTCTCTGCTCTATGCAGCCTGGTGTTGGTGCTGATGCCTTGCACACATGCGTTCTTTAACTTGAGACCTCACCCTCGAGGATCTCCCTTGCCCTCCCCGCCCCCCACTGAATGGACTGACTTGTGTCCTTTGAGGGCACTGGGCACAAAGCAGGGACATGTTTCAACAGTGACTGCCCAGGTCTTGTTTAGCAGTACTGCAGTTACTCCAGTTCTTAGGATTATCTCTCCTTGGAAGTAACAAAGATTGATAACACTGGAGAATGGAAAAAATCAAGTAACTTGCCCAAGATCACTTGCAAATTGGTAGGAAAGTGAGACTTCAAACAAGGCTGTACAAGCCCCATGCTCAGGCCCATCAGCGCTGTGCTGCTGGCTCACCTCACATATCATTTTATTGTTAGAGTTAGAAGACGGTCTTACCTCCCTCTCATTGATCCTCTCCGTGGTGTTCACACTGGGCTGAAACAAAACTCTGACTTTATTCCTCTCTTGCTTAAGCAATGAGGAGCTTCTTTTGGCTGTAGCAGGAAACCCAGTGAGAGTGGTCTCATGTGGGGCAGTTTCCTCACCTCACAGGAGATTGCAAAACAGGCTTCCCAGGGCAGTACGGCTGTTCTATGGTTTCATGGATCTGGGCTCCTCCTATCCATCTGCTTTGTTGGCCTTGGTCTGTGGCCCTGTTCCACGGGGTCTCAGGAAGGATTTTGTTCTTATAACCACGGAAACCAAGTTCCACACAAGAAAGGGGAGCAGTTGAAGGACAAAGGGAGCAGAAAATCACACTGCTGGGCTGCTGTTCACAGCAGACTGGAAGAACTGAATATATTCTGTGTACTGTTTCTAGATTACTTATAGTTGCAAAGGTGCCTGGGAAATTCTAATAGGCTCATCATAGACAGACATAACACTATTCTTAATAAAATCAGAATGCTATAGTAGAAAGGAAGTCAGTGGATTTTGTGGAGGCTCCCAATGGGGCCTGCCACCATTGTTTTACTGAGCCCTCATGTTCTAAGGTAAAATCCAAATGACTTAGCATGGTATCTGGGGTAACTCATGCTGACCAACCTTATTATCTTGCCTGATTTAATACCATTTCCTAGGTCATCACTGACCAAGCTTTCTGTGAATAATGAACTCTCCTGTGCCTCAGTGCCTTCCACATGCTGTTGTCTCCATTTTTCTCCTCTCACACCCCTGGGTTTCTTTTGTCCCCTCAACCCCTCATCTCTAAGTCCAGCTGGAGGATTACTTCCTATTTGAAATTTTCTTGGTTAGCCACTAGATGTTTCTCCTTGAATACCCTCATAGAACTTTGAACCATCTGTTGTGCATTTAGTGCGCGTGTGTGCCACAGTTTACGATGCCGTTGTGCATCCTAATGTGGCCATGATCTCTTACCTTCCTTACCTGTAATAACAAATCAAGAAATGAATTGATGTTGGCCTCCAGCTGACACTAGTGGGCCCCAGTGAGTGCTGCCTTTGTTCTGTGGCACTCTGTATACTTGGGCCACACATTTCTATTTCAGGTGTACTTTGTTACAGTCATTTTTGGCACTAACCCAGATTCATTTTTCTTTGGTTCTAGTTGTTGAAATGGATGAAAATAATGGGCTTTTACTTCTAGAATTGAATCCTCCAAACCCCTGGGATTCTGATCCCAGGTCTCCTGAAGATTTGGCTTTTGGAGAAGTACAGGTAGGTAAACATTAAAATTGTAATGGTCTTTAAGAACTAATCATGAATGATTATATATATATATATATATATATATATATATATATATATGAAAATACATATAATATATGGGATCTATAATATATATTCTCCATGTAGGAAAGAAAGGCTTTAGTGGCAGTTCCAAAGGGTCATGCGAAGCTACTGGAGAAAGTTCAGATATTAACCTTGGTGCCAGATCACTGTTAGATAGAGTAGTATATCAGTGTGTTTTCTGTACTATTACAAAATACTAGAGGCCGGATACTTTATAGTGAAAACAGGATGATTTAGCTTACAGCTCTGGAAGTTTAAGGGCATGATGCTAGCATCTGTTTAGCTTTGGTGAAGGCTGCATGGTGGACAATATCATAATGACAGGAACAGGTGTGAGTGGCAAGAGGGGTGTGGAGGAAGTGCCAGGTCATCTTGTAACAACACATTCTCAAGGGAACTAGATTAATCCTGTACAAATGACATTAATCTCTCTCAAGGTGATGACCCGGTGACCCAATTACCTTCCCTTAGGTCCCAGCTTTAAAGGTCCCACTGTCACAGGCTAGGTCTGAGAATGCTTAAAGCTGAAATAAAGAACTTAACCCAGCACTTCAAAGTAAATGTGCAGGTTTTCTGGCTCTGGTCACAGAGAGAATTTTCAGGGCACATGAGTAACAGGGACATGGGAGAAACTTAGTAAGACTTGGCTGCAGGGTACACTCAACCGTGTGGGTGCTCAAGGACACGAGGCACATTACAAGCTGCGGAAGGGCACAGTGAGAGGCTGTTTTCAATAGGGATGATCTAGGATGTGTATTCTCACTGTTTGCCAGGTTACAGGGCAAAATCTCTTTATGAGTTTGTGTTTGTTTGTTTGTTTTTGAACAAGAAATCAAACTCATGACCTCATGCTTGCCAGGCTCTATGTGGGTTTGAAATGGAGAGATGCATTTGAGGGAGGGTAAGACACACTTTCTGCAACACAGCTGCTTTCTGGGCTCGAGGAAAAGTCAACTGGCAGGTGAAAGGGTTGAGGGCCCAGGAACCTACGGATTATTGTAAGGGCCTTACATACTACTATTAGTATGGTCTCCAGAAGCAGGAAAAGAGCTTATCTTGAAGCTGCAGCTTTTCTTAGAAGTACAGTGTTAAATTTTTGATTTGCTGATCTGTTTTGTGTGGTTTTATTTCTTCTGTCCTGTCTCACTGTCACCATTCTGAGCACCATGCTCCTAATACAGGAACCTCTGGGGGACAAACCATGGCAGACGAGTAATTGTCTCTTCCTGCACTGTGTTCTGAGATCTTTTTTTCTCTTCTTCTTCTTTTCTTCTTCTTCTTCTTCTTCTTCTTCTTCTTCTTCTTCTTCTTCTTCTTCTTCTTCTTCTTCTTCTTCTTCTTCTTCTTCTTCTTCTTCTTCTT